GACTAATAAACCAGGATTGCTCAAACATGTGTGAACAAAACAAAACACAGCTCCTGGTATGTTTTTGATGAGGTAACAACGTTATAACATGGCTTGAAGCTCACAAGAATCAATTCTGTGTAATATAGAACCTCTAATATAAAGCTATTGTCACTTGAGACTAGAGTTACACACAAGGGGAGAAAAGAAAAAGCTAAATAAAACAGCTTTTATCACATTGAGTGTATAGGAACATGTACTTTTACTGCTTGCTGTGAGGTATTGTGTAGAATTTATTTGTTTATTCTTCATCTTCTCTCATTTTTTCTGTGTTGTCTGTGATTCTGACACTTTTTTAGCTTGTTAAAATATTAAAAACCTAAAACTCCTTGATAAAGAAATCAAGCATAAATACAGATGCTCCCCGCTCACAGCTTGCTTCAGGGCTGTCACAGTGAACCTGTCGAAAAACAATAAGTCTGCTTTGTATTTGATGCCTTATTATTATTAAACAGCTACATACAGTTTTTAGAGTAACAATATGGATGAAGTGTCTTGCCCATGGACACATTAAAGGTCATGCATTATTGTAAAATGTAAAATTGACTTTTGTGAACTTTAGGTCATGTTATAATGTTGTTACCTCATCAAAAACATACCTGGAGTTGTGTTTTGTTTCATTCACACATGTTTGAATAATCCTGCATTTTTATTTTGTCTATACATCTCCAAAGGTCAATATGCTTTGTTCCAACTTGTGATGTCATGAAGTGATAGATTTGATTGTTCAGGAGAGATTGGCAATTCCATGGCTGAAAATATCTAAATGATTCTAAAAAACATGGAGTATGGAGTTTAAAAACAGATTGGAGCACATCTTGTTAGAGCCTAGTGCCTCCGGTCAGTTTCATTTCTCTCCAGCGACTAGGTCAGGAATCAGAAAACACTAGACCAGGAGTGTCAAACTCATTTTGGTCCGGGGGCCGTATCCAACCTACTTTGATCCCAAAGTGTCCGGATCAGAAAACTCATGTCATATAAACCCCAAAAATAACAATAAGTTCAAATATTTGTGCAGAGAAATGCAAATCAATTACAGAAATCTTTTTTAATTGATGAACTCTTTCTTATTATAAGTTTATAATATTATGAACAACCTGAAACTTTAAGACGAATTCAATTTCAGCACAATGTTTTAACATTAACTTGTGTGCAAACAGGAATAAGTACATTTTTCTTGTAAAATCCTGCACTCGGCTCCACTTTTCTCATGTTGGACATTTTTCTGATGAGGGTGTCACGGTCAACAGTCAAAACGATCGTCTTTAAGAGCGTTTGGAAAGAGACAAGTCTTCATTTGTGCTGCTCTGGTGGGAGGGGCCACGTACAGAGACGCTGGAGACGCTGCTGTGATAAACACCACAGAAAATTACCAATATTTTAATAGAAAATATAATTAAAATATTTTAGTAGAAAATCACCCAAGGGCCACCTTAAAGGTCTTGAAGGGCCGCATCTGGCCCCCGGGCCTTATGTTTGACACTTGTGCACTAGACAGTTCACAAAAACCCCGGAAGTGCAAGTTTGGGCACCGGTCAATCAGCGAAGAGCCATATATTCTGTGTTGGCAACGATCCCCGAGATCGAGGATTTAAAGCTGGAACAAAGAGAATGTTTGGTGAATTTTATTAAAGGGAAAGACGTTATTGTCCTTCTTCCTGCAGGATTTGGGAAAAGCTTAATATACCAGTTAGCCCTGTTAGTGGTGCATTACATACGTCACGACCAAATAGCAGCGATTGGTGAAAAAAAGTACCTGCCTACTGTCAAGCAAACGAATCCTAATGATGCAAGGTCAGACAGTTTCTACGAACTGAAACCGGCTGATGAATCAGGCCAGTGCTGGTGGGTGGGATGATAAACTGCAGTCCCGCAAACTAAATATGAGTGTAAAGTAAAATATACAAATGATTAATGTACGCCTATCATACATCATTTGTGCCGGATATTTTATTTGGCATTAATAAAAACACCCTAAACAGTCTAAACTTGCGGATGTGGTCTAATCTTGTGCACATTTTAGACAATTCCTTTCCGCTTCTCTGTGTTTGATTGAGCTTAAGAAAGGGAATGTCCCCATCTTGCGGGATTTGAGGGAGGGAGCGGGACAAAATATCGTAGATGCAGAAAGGAGTGGGAATAAAAATTCTTTGCGGGCACGGGCGGGAGAGGGACTGAAAACTCTGTCCCGCGCAGACCTCTACTTCCTACTAAAGTGTTTTCTGTTTGAGAGAACTCAGCTTAAATAAGGAGGGTTTGTGTGTTAAACGTGTGAATGAAAACACAATTCGAGACATGTTTGTGATGGGGAAACAACATTAAAACATCAGAAAACAGCATAATATGGGCCCTTTAACAATAAAAGTTCATGAGAAATGAGAGATGAACTGCAGACCCTGTGGTTAGTGATAGATCATTTAACACATTATGCCACTGTATACTTTAACGTGACAGTGTGGATGATTGATTTGTGGTCAGAGAAGCCACGGCCGCAAAATGGCAACCACTTTTCCACCAATCCGCCCCAAGGCAGCTGTGGTCTAAGATAAAATCCAAGCCACGATAATCTGTTCATTTAAAAAGTCAGCCAGGCAAACTGTGTTCTTGAAATGTCAGAAATGTGACTCACTTGGTAGTTCTTTTCTCCAAACAATTTCAAGTATTTTACAGTAATTTTTCCGACTCCCAAAGGTTGAACATTGAACTATAATCGTTCCCAAGCATCCCATTTTGAAGACGAGTGTTCTTTTCTTCTTTGTAATCAAATCTCACTGTCTCAATGATGTTTTTTTTTCCAAACTTAAGAATCCGTGTGTGTAAGGAAAGCATCTCTTTGGCTCGGAGCCAAGTGTCTGAACTCAGCGCTCTGTATTCTCAAGGTGCGCTGGAAAAAGAGGGATTTGAAATTGAGATGATTGGAGTTGGCACATCCGCGGAGGAGGGAGAGGGAGGAGAGGGGGAAAGGGAGGAGAGAGGGAGAGAGAGAGGGAGACAGCCAAAACACAGGAGAAAATGGGTGGCAGATCACACACATTCAGCCTAAACTACCTTAGTTCTTTTCAACTACAGAATATAACTTTATAACTATGCAATAAGGTACACCGTGTAACTTCTAGTGTAGGCTCTGTCAGCTGCGTTTCTTCATGGAGATGTGATTACTTTCCCTAAAATGTTACACAGTATGGCATTAAACTTAACAATGTTTGAAGATAAGCAGGTGGTGCTGCAGGAACAGTAGCAAGGGCGTAGTTTGCATAGGGACGGTGGGGACATGTCACAACTAATATTTGGGGAAGACAAAATAGTCCCTACCAATATCTGCCATTTTAAAAAACAAAAATATAAATTTTTTCCAATGTTTTTCCAAACTCAGTAGTATTAATTTAACACGTTCAGTGATATGACGACAGGGTTACACATGCCGCTATTTTATTGGCTGCAACAGAGTGATGTCATTAGTGATGCCAGGAGCCTAAACTGGGGAAGCAGCAGGACAGTGCAGCACCCGAAGATGGCAGCTTGAGCAGGAGTGAGTGAAGACGCTGCACCAAACTTTGAAAAACTTTTCAGAAGGAACTTACTTAACTTCATCTTCAATTAAACTGGCCTTATAATGAGTCACTTCGAAAAGAGAGTGACTTTTGGCAGTTCGAATCCCGCTCTTGACATAAACATCATCATTAGAGCAGTTCAATCCACTGACCCAAAGGTTGGCGGTGCGAGCCCCCACAGATGATTAGTGTTGTTGTGTCCTTGGGCAAGACACTTAAGCCAACTCGCCTCCAGTGTCTGCGTTCACTGATGTATGAATGTGAGTGTGAATAGGTGAAAGGTTCTTAAACTTAGACAAACTTTAACGATCCACAAGGGAAATTATTTGGACACAGTAGCTCCCTCATTACAATATAATATAATTACAAAGGGTAAAAGATATAAATGGTGATAATAAACTAACAAACTAACTAAGTCGCAAAAAAATAGCAAGAGACTGGTGTCAAATAAGGCATAATTATATAAATGTATATGTACAAGTTAAAATAAAGTAAGTATTACAATCTTAAATCTCAGCTCCCTTCCTTAATTCCTTAAAAAAAAAAAAAAAAAAAAAAACGTGACCGTTCACCGACTAACAATCTTAAGAGATAGATCATTTTACTGTACGTACTGTGGGACATTCCAGGAGAAGCAATAACATCCAGTGAGAAAGGAGTGCCGTAACTGCAACTTATATATTATATTGCAACTAAAACCATAAACTCAAGACAAGTACCTTTGCCTCTTAACCAATCCCTTTTATTCAACACTTTATCAACAGCAGAACAATCAGCCTCTCAGCAACTCCTCTCAGCAACCACAACAAAGTTCCCATTTATTTTATGGCCTATATATTCATTAATCTTTTCATATTTTTAAAAGATTGTCTCGTTGTCATTTTTGTAAATACGCCTGTGGTAAAAGGAGTAGTGCTGCCTTCTTAAACATTGATACTTTGCCAGATCAGAAAAAGCGGGAGAACAGGTGAGACGATTTGTGCTGTTAAAAAGTCTCACACATAAAATTACAGTCACAAGCTGTCGAGCATTATCACTCTCACCTTTTAGTTAAAAATCAAACACCTAAACAGGACCATGAACGCTCGTATTGATCACAGACTCCAGAAAATGCGTTTTTGTCCATTTTCTATTTTTCATTTATGTTGAGTTTTCATACAGTCTGAAAACTTGTTGTACATTGTATCACCATGGTAACTGATGAACATTTTGCAACAGAAATACATAAAAATACACCCGTAATGTCACACACGATGTCAAACGCAAAGCAGCTGAATTACAGAGAAAACGTTCTTTAACTTTCTTTAACTTTACTAACACTCGATTCACTTTTTCGTGTAAATATTCACTTATCTAATTGAGAAGAAAGTATTAAAAGTTATAAGGAGTTGTACTTACAAATGTCAGTACCTTGTAGGAGCACGCCCCCGTTCTTCCTGAAGAGAGGACTCCCCGACCACAAAGGAGGACTGCAAAACAAGAGAGAAGAAGAGTTTTAAAAGTGATCATCAACATTCAATCGCCTCTTCGTGTTTTAGCAGTAGATCAGCGCAGCACAAAGACCTGGAAGATTAACTGAAATCAGATGAAATTGCAGCTTGATTCATCACAGCAAATCAATTCGCAAATTACGTAGAAATAAATATGGCATCTTCATTGGAGACTTATTTTGGATAAAACTTATTAAGATTTAGATTTATATTCCACCAAACTCTTTCTGAAATGTGTGTTTTGTCTTGTATTGTTCAATTCAAGTGAAATAACTTGGTGCACTATGTAACTTTTTCTAAGTTTTGCCCCCTGCTTATATCCATGGAGATGTTATTGCCTTGCATGTAATGTTCCACAGTAAGGCATTAAATCTAGCTCTATTTAGACAAGAAGGTGACACCATCAGGTCAAGTTACAGGTCAGATCTGGGAAGAGGAGACCCCATTACAGTAAGAATGGATGTTTTTCAAGTTATTAGTAGGGGGGGACCTCAACATTGAGCTACTCTCACCTCGCAACCTGTGCACATGGCCACCCACTTGTCCCGACCGGAAAGGAAATGGGAATTTCTTGTACAAATCATTGTTAAATGCACATTTGAGCTTCGGCATGTTGCAGACTGACCAACTGTGTGTCTGCTCACTCTTCCTGAGTCACAGAGAGCGACGAGAGACGCTCAGTTTAATGGCCCCAATGAAAGATCACGAAAACCCATCCATCACTTTATAAAAAATAAAAAATTATCTGAACGCCCAAGACATGACGCAAGAAATGGACATGTCCGGGAAAAAACAGATGTTTGGTCACCCTATTATAGAGCAATTAATCACATGCACACACAGATACACACACGCACACACACACACGCACGCACGCACACACACACACACACACACACACACACACACACACACACGCACACACACGCACACGCACACGCACACACACACACACAAACATATACAAAAATACACAATAGATGAGTTTAATGTCATATGGGAAATTTCAGGCATTAGGCATCAGAGAATTAACGTCTCCATGGCGACAAGCAGGTCCCACACCAGAAAAGTTACATAGCGCAACTTTAAGTCATAATTATTAATATTATTATAATATTAATATTACTTAAAAAAAAAAAACAGTCTGTTGTCATGACATTTTGAGTTATTTTTTGCAATATAAATATTAATATGAGTATTGAGAACAGAATCTTCATTTCAAAATTTGTTCTGCATATCAAATCTAAAAAAACTCAGTAAAAAAAAAAAGCCTTTGAATAGGTCAGGTCAAGTTACAGGTCAGATCTGTAGAGAGGCGAGCCTGCATGCTTTTCAACTATATTGGAGTAATAAAAACACTAGTAACTGAATAAATACAAGATAAATAAGTTTAATGCCGTACTGTAGAAAAGCTCTGACTGAACAATAACATCACCATGGAGACAAACAGGTGGCAGACTCCATCACCAGAAAAGTTACATAGTGCACCTTTAATTTATTAACTTTTACTAAATGAAAGAAAAACTAAAAAACAAGAGAAGTAGTCTGCTGTCACAATATTTTAGCTGTATCAACTATTTGTATCTCTAAGCATTAATATGAGCATTGAGAACAGAATCTTGATTTCAAAATTTGTCCGACAAATCAAATATAAAAATTTCTCAAAAAAAAAAAAATAAAAAAATCTTTAGATACATTTGTAACATTCCTCCAGGCCTCGTATCGGCCCGGCTTCATAGTCAGTCCGATATTGAAGCGAGTATTTGAGCCCATAAGACCGTGCTCCTGATTATAGTGATTAGATTCCTGGGTGTCCCACTGTTGCCATTATTCCCTGTGATTACCTCGGAGAATTACAGCCTCGCCGTCATGGAACCACCAGGGTAATTTCTCACGACAACCCCCAACCCCCCACCCACAGCCAGCCCGCCAGTCCACTCACAACACTGCAAAAAAGACCGCTTTAAAGGGGCATTGTGGAACTTTTCTGATGGAGGGTCCGTTAAATGCGTTGTCTGGAATGTTTCACAGTATGGTATTAAACCTTTCTATTTTCATGGAGACCAAATTAGACCAAGTTACAGGTCAGATCTGTGGAGAGGCAACCCTGCTCACAGTCAGAATACCTGTTTTTTTTGTTGTTGTTGTTTTTTTGTTTTGTTTTTTTGAGATATAAACACACCTGTAATTGAATAAATGTAAGGTAGAGCTGTTTAATGTCATACTGTGGAACATTTCAGGCAGAGCAATGACATATCCATAGAAATACACTGGTGATGGACCCTCTATCAGAAAAGTTACACAGTGCACCTGTAAATGTTGAAATGTCTTGAATTCTGTTGTTTTGAGAAGTTTAAATGTCAGTTCTTCTCAGGTCAAGGTTATGTGTAGGTTCAGTCTGATATACAGCAAATGCTATGATTGTGTCTCTGGGCAAGACACTTCAGTTGATACGTCCTGTGATGGAAATTTATACTGTGGAAAGATTTCTCTCAATGTGTCTTGGTGTAAATCAGGGGTGTCCAAACTTTTTTCATTAAGGGCCACATATCTAAACACAGACGAAGCAGAGTGACGGTCGAGGGTCGTAGACTGGTGCTCAATACAGTGAATAATTGAAATATGTGCATGTTTAATACGTTAGAATGAGCCATCAGTCCTTTATCTATGCTAAGATCCTAAAAACCACACACTAAATATTAAATGTTAGCTTTATCAAGGTAGATTTTCAGAAAACTTGCAGTAAAAAAATATTTTTCATTGATGCAAGGTAATTTGGACCAATTCTCCTGGAAGCCTGAGGGCCAAGAAAAATTAGTCTGAGGGCTGCATTTGACCCACGGGCCATAGTTTGGACATGCCTGGTGTAAATGAATGTAATTTCTACCTGAGACCCAGACCAGTCATTAACATGTTTAAAGGCTCAGCAGACACAGTAGGAAACTCTTTGTTGTCTTAGCTGTCCTCAAAAGTAAGTTAAGTTGATTAGCACAAGTCTATGAAAAGTCACTCTGCTTTGATATATGTATATGTATTTCTGTATAAATACTCAGAGCTCTGATGCTTTGGGAGAGCGACTCAGAGCTCAGATGCTCTGGGGGGAGATTCTCAGGAGACGGAGAGAATGAGTCCAGTGTGGTAAGGACATACTGCTGGTGAGGAGAGACTGTTGGTCTGTGGCCAGGGCAGGATTAGGCTCCGTCCATATCTACTCTAACAAGAATAAACATTTGTCTGTATTCCAAAAACTCAACGGGCTTCACAAATGGATTAATTATTTATCATCAAGAGATACATCATTTTTTCCACAACAGTCCACTTAAAGGAAGGGCATCCTGCATAAAATCTGTGACAATGACTAGAATCAGTATGCTGCTTGGGCTTGTTTTGACTAATTTAAAGGTGGACTGGGTATCGTTTTATTAGTTTGTCTGGTCTGGTCCACTGTACAGCAAACTAATCTATCTTGCATTTATTCTATTGGAGTTTTTTATTGCTCAAGGCAAAGCTTCCAGGCAAAGCAATAGTATCTCCATGGAGACAAGTGAGCGGTGAACCTTTCACAAAAGTTACATAGTGCACCTTTAAATTGACACTGTTCTCAAACCAAGATTATCAGAATTGTTTCAAAATGACAACAGGAAGTGCAGTTTGTAACATTTGCCCTGCGACTGGAGGTTAGCAGGCTCAGATCTTACATGAAGCACATGCTGCCCTTGTGCCCCTGAGCATTACACTTCTGTTTTACAAATTCAGTAAACAAACAAGTAATAAATAAAAGTTTAAAGTATTTTGATTTTCTAAATTTTAAGCAGATTTATTAGACAGTAACATTATTTTCACATATTTTCAAGTACAAATTTCATTCACATGTTTAACACACAAACCCTATATATTTACTCTTCTCTCGAACTGAAAACACTCTGTTCCACCTTGTGATGTCATGCGGTAATACAGGAAGTGCTCCACTGTGTTTTTAAACTCCACACACCTTCACTAGAATCATTTGGATAATTTCAGCCCTGGAATTTCTGATCTCTACTGAACTAAAGGTCAAAGGTTGGTGTTCACTTGAAAACTAACACTTCATGACATCACAAGGTGGACCAGAGCAGCAAGAGTTTCTCAAACATGTGTGAATGAAACAAAACACAACTCCAGGGATGTTTTTTAATGAGGTAACAACATTCTAACATGACTTAAAGCTCACAAGAGACGAAATGAAAACAATCTCCACGTCAATTTGAATCTCAACTTTTTAAACAATCTGAGTTCACGCATTTTAACGAAAACCTCAGCTTTTACAGTGCACATTCGAACACATCCCATGAGCCTTTGCCGCACATTCTTAGCGTATAAGTATAATGCCGTGTCCCGAATACACACTAGCGAAGCTGCACGGAGCCACTCAACGTGATCATTGCTCCGCTAATGAGGGAGGTAATGACTGCATCCCTCACATAGATGGAGATGTCTGCCTTAACACAGCGCGCAAGACAATAGACCAGCACTAAATCTATATATACAGGGATGAGGGGAGAGAGGGGGGAGAGAAAGAGGTAGAGGGGTAGAGAGAGGGGTTTTCCAGGTTGAGCGGTCTTTACGTGGTCATTAATCAACGCCGCAGTTTTTCCTGACACTGCTCACTTTGTTCACGTTGGATTATTTCACGTACAAATAGTAAAGATACAGGACGGGCTTTTTAAAGTTATTTTGTGATTTGATTTAAAAGGGTTCATATCAGGCTATTTTTTGATCTATGTTATAATGTTTCCTCATCACAAACATACCCAGAGTCGTGTTTTGTTTCATTCACTCATGTTTAACTCAAACTATGAATATTTAGGCTCAGTTTTTCCTCTTAAACGGAAAACTCTCTGTTCAAGATGATGTCATGTAGTAATACAGGAAGTGCTCCACTCCACTACACCTTCACTAGAATCATTTGGATGATTTCAGAACGGGAATTGCCAATCTCT